ACAAACAAACAAACAAACAAACAAACAAACAAATATTGTACCAGTGTGCTTGAAATGATATAACTGACCACTCCTCTACAGGAAAATTGACTTTATGATATGGAGGAAACACTACATTTCCTATCCTGTTCTGAAAACTTGCTGGGGGTAGAAGGGATATCAGTTATTGTGGTCTCCTTTTAAGTCACTCACCTGCTTATGTGTAGAATTGAGAGTGTAGTGTAGACATGAGTATTCATTTAAGCCCTTTCTTAAATATTCCCATACACTTTGCAGTGACCTAGGCCTTCATATGTTGAATGCAAAGGGGTTTGGAGCCATGTGTTACAGAACTCCCATGAATGGGAATTTAGACTTACCAGAGTTTTCCTTTATGGGAATACTGTAATTGCATTCACACCAAACACATTCCTTGGGAATGTCTGATGGCAGTGCTTATGCACATGCCCACATACCCACCATACATTGGCTGAAATCCAATAGTAAGCCACAACCAGAGTATTCCCATTGAATCGATGGAACTTACGGAGGTGTTGACTCACCCAATCCCCATTGATTCAATGAGCCTACTCCAGCTGTGACTTACTACTAGATTTCAGCCATTAGGCTCCATGTAGAAGTAAAGGACAACCTGGACTGAGTGTGGTATATGGTAGTTCTATTTACCCATCCATTTCAGTGGGGATAATTGTACCCTCAACAGCTTAGTAAGTAAAGAAGTGCTTTGGGGGGAAAAAAGGAAAGAAATGGGGGCAGAGGTTTTTCTCAACCTTTAATTATGGAGGGGTATAAAATGGTTCAGCCTTGCAGGAAAGGTTATATAAACATTTCAGTCATCTGGTTGGTTATTAAGCAGCATAACCAGCAGCTACAGTCCTGCCACACTCTGTACTTGTGCCATATTTCATATACTCTGGTAAAATCACATGTTTCCTATGTACAGATGATGATGATGACATAAATGAATGAATGAATGCATAGCCCATATGCAGAGGCAATATCTATTCTTTTCCATTTTGTTGGGTTTCACATCCATAATTCTCTTTCTGTATTCCACAAATAAGGAATAGGAAGGGAATATAAGCCCCCTAATGCCTTTAGAGGATATATGGGTACTCTTTGAGAGTACCTATTTTGTTTTTTTATTACAGATTATATAAAAAACAGCTGTAATGTATGTTATTAAATTGGGCATTGCTTTTTTTGTTTCACTTTATTTTGTTTAAACTTCAATAAATTCAAAAGCAAAAGATGAAAAAGGTTAAAAAAGAACAAAAGGGGCAAAATGAGAGGTACAAGAACTTTATCCTCCAAAACTGCTTTTTGAAGGGGGGGGGGAAAGTCCAGATGGTGGTGCAAATCTCAGTGGCAAATTGTCCCTAGTCATGGCTGGTCCTTCTCATCCAACACCAAGTCATATGACTAGAATACAATAAGGAATACAAGTGTCAACTTGTTAACTAATGGCAGTTTACTGCTGTAATTTGGGCTCTTGAACTAAAGTCTGTAAAAATAACAGGATTCTGATCCCTCTTAAGAACAAAGCCAGAAATTGGCCACAGGTACACACCTGGTTAAAAATCAGGTGGAAAGTGAAGAAACTTTTGTCCCTTCACATGACACAAGTCTGGCTCTACTTTAGAATGTCACCCAATGGACTCTTTTTTACACTGCAGTAAGGCTTCCTCTGTGACCAGGCAGGGTAAGACGGTCCTTCCTCTTCCACATGCTTTGTTTGTCTGGTGGGCTGCTGGACAGCAGCAACTGGGGAGCATGGTGGCATTGATGGCGTCTTCATTCAACAGCCTGGGGGGCTCCTCCCAACACGATTGCCACTGTCGTTCCTCAGCTGCAGCTGCAGCGGCAATTCTGCTGTGAGAAGGCCAGCTGAGCCCTTACCCATTAGAGCCTTCCCAGCTACAGCAGCTCTGGCCAGCTGGCATTGTTCTCGCCTAGGGGGCGCAGCTCCTGTGGCTTCCTTTTCAGTGCATGTTGAGTGGGCTGAAGCCTACCAGGACAGGCTGGAGCTACGCGTCCAGCTTTAGTGAAAGGAATCACATTAAAATAGGCTGCGTGGTTCCAGAGGTTTCACTCCTCTTTTCAGCCAAACTGCAGTAAAAAGCTTATAGTGGGTTATCTGCAAAGAGATAATTCCTGTCGTGGTATATTGCTACAATGTAGTTAGAAAGAGAAATCTAAAATTGTATGACAAGCAGGAAGATAAAACACTGGATGTACAAATATCCTAAAATATAGGCACCACATAACTAGAAACATCAAGATCTAGAATCTTATACAAGGGTAGCAGAGAAGATGCCGTATTTTAGAATAATTCCAAGTCAAAGACCATTTATTAATCCTTTTTAATAAGTTTCATTCAAGGGGAATGTATCAGCATGAACATGAAGATTTGGTTCTTAGTTTATAAATCAGTAAGCATGATCCATTTATTGCCAGGTAGGAAGCAGCTGTTTGTAATGGACAGCTTGAGAAATGTACATGGCAGCGTTTCACAAGCGGCAGCACCTGAGCTCCCTGTGTCCATACGCACAAATGGCAAAAGAAAAAGAAAAGAAAAGAAAAGTTATGTACCCCTTTCCCCCAATTTCCTTTTGGTGGCCTCCTTTCCATCTTAGCAAAGTAATGTTTCTTAACAGACAGAGAGGTAAAGAGCTGACATTGTCACTGTCCAGACTGATGATGTCTTAATGTGTCAAGTGGCAGAAGAAACAGTAAGTGAATACTTCCTCTGTGTGCCAGCTATTCATTAATGTTTATACTTTAGTCCTTTGAAAAACTGGCTCATCCTTTTTCTTTATCCTTTCCTGTTTCTCCTCTTCAGTTAAATTACATAACCAAAGTTACGCGATTGCATTCACTTAGTACCTGTACCCTGCTGTTTCCGTGTTCAGAGGCTAATCAGAAGCTGATTTTTACCTTGTCTTGCAGTCTCTGCCTCCATCATAACCAGTTCTCCTGCAAGGGGCAGCTAGAGTGAGTCCTGAAATTGGTGACCTCACTTGATTCTCTACACACTACTCCTCTGTTGGCCATTTACTGAGAAGAGCCAACATGTAGTCTAGCAGGCTTTGGGGGCTGACAGACAGTAATTCTGCTTGATTTTTAAAGTGCTTATATCTTCTTATGCTCGATATCTCAAATCAAGCTATACTCCATTTAAAAAAACATCTGTGTAAGAGACAAATGTGGGAAGGGCAAAAGGCTTTGTCAGAGTGTGATACATTTCTAATGTGAGGAAATCCAATCTGTTGTAGTTGAATGTTTGAAATCTTGCAGAGATTGTTATATTCCTTCTTGTCTTCCAGTACATAAGTTGTCTAATCATAAAGGATATGGGAAAATAGTCTGATCACATTGGAAGTAATTATCTTTGACTTCTCTAGGTAACGGACCATAATTCCAACCTCTTATAGGTGTGCTAGAATGTGACATCAGTGACTAATCGTAGACAAAATGTGTTGCACACTTGGAAAGTTCCAAGAATTATTAGACAAATGAAAGGTTCTAGATCAAATCAAGCCTGAAATGATTCACTAGAAACAAAACTGAGGCTGTTCTTTGAACATATCATGAGAAGGCAAGATTTACTGGGGGAAAAAACAATGGTAGGAAAAAGTAAAGCAGTAGGGGAGAAAAAAGATCTAAGATGAGATGGATTCACTCAGTAACCAAACCGTCATTTTTAGTTGTTAAGACCTGACCAGGGTTGTTAATGTCAGGACCTTCTGAAGGTCATTCATTCACAGGGTCACTATAAGTCAGAAATGACTTGGAGGCTCATTACAAGAACATATTTTTGCCTGTGGCTTTTAGAACGACGGATCTTGAATCAAGCAGATTCAGTTGATGCATGCTGTTCAGCCATCCACATACCAAATGAATATTTACTCTTCACCACAGAAACGATGACATTTCTTCAGTGCAGTTTCCATATTGGTGATATAAGACCTTGACCAAGCCATTCTGTTGGCTTGGCTCTGGAAACGAAAGGGAATGGACAGGTGCCGGAAATTCCTTAGGAAGAATACAAGAAACAAACAGTTACTGGAAGAACAAAAAAACATATAGACAACAGTGTTTCACAGACTTATTGTAAAAACATGTATGTGGGATGCACATTCATTTACACCTCCCCTTTTTTTCCCCAGCACACTCTCTAGTCAGAGTAGTGTTACAGTAATCTTTTTTTTTTTTAAAGTCTGTGGAACTTCATGCCATTCCTTGGAAGAGCCAAATGTCTTCTTTAGAAATGCGCCATTGATGATGTGAGGAGGGCACCTGGAGTGGCCCCAGCAGGCCGAGTGGCCCTGCCCCACCAGCGCAGAGGAGATTAGGAGAGAGTGATTCTCTTGCTCCTAGCTATCCCACTACCTGATGCGGGAGAGCTGGAGGAGGATGCAACAGCAGGAGTAAGACGGCAGAAGTTGCAGGACTCAGGGTCATTGTTGTCAACCATATCAGGTTAAGGGGAGATGTGGGAAGAGGCAGACGAACACTGGAAACTCATATTTTGCACCTCTGCAAAATAGAAGATCAGGGGAGCCGCCCCCTCCTGCCCAGTCCCTTTGGCTGTGGAGCCCATGGAATTTTTGGCCTAGGGACTCCGCACCTCCGGGGTACATCCCACGTCCCTTGTACGTGGACTGGTGAGACTCATGAGCAATAGACCTATTTTCAGTACCTGTGATCAATCAATCTACTACTACCTTTCCCATGGAAACTAGCAGCAAAATTCGCATTACTTTTAATCAACTAACTGGATTGCATCAGTTGGAGACCATCTAATTCAAATGTATATTTATAGTTGTTCATACAGTATACATGCATAATAAATCTGGTGGGCTCATTCTTCAGTAGGAACACACACAATTGCACTAATGGTTTATTTTACATTGGTTTCCCTGGGTTAAGGTCACTTATGTTTCCATTTAGTTAGGTCATTATGTGAAAGGATGTTCTTTTGCATTCTTGTTTCCTTCACGTAAATGCATTTGGAGTCATTACCTCTCTTCATGTTATGTTACTTATAAAAATTCCCTCGCTTGAGGCAAGGCCAAGGTCATGAAATCTTGTGTATCTTACCTGGAATTCAAGGATTTGTCTCTGTTTGTTCTCTTAGAGCTTTGAGTGACAGTTCATATCCCAGAAACATAGCAGCACTCATTGGGAATCCCCGCACTGCATTCACTGTGAGACCCCTGAAAAAAACCTGATCAGAACGAGGAAGGAAGGGTTACTCCAAAGAAGTCATAAAGTATTCATATACAGAAAACATTTGGAACAGGTAACAATGAATGGGAATCAGACATTGGGAGGTCTGCATTTTTCTTCACTATTCTGTGAGGGACACAGTAAGTGAAACCAACTCAGATAATTTCCCAGAAACTAATGTTTATTTGCATATATGTTCATTTGTTTTAACAATTTTTTAGCAAAGTATATCCTACTTTTCTTTAAATTATCAGATCTTACTTTCATGGTGAGGCAAATTTCTAGCCACATGGTAATTCTGTACGAAAGGGATTGATCAGGATCAAAGCTCCTGAAACATTGCTTCGCCTTTTCCTAATTTCCAAATGGAGAGGGGGATGACTTAAAAATACTTCTTTAGACCCACCCACTATTTAGCTTCTTCTGTTTTTAAAAGAAGATAACAAATGGAAGTGGGCAACAGCATAGGAGACCCTCAAAACATGTCAACATTGCCTCCACAGTGCAAACTGCACAAGGGAACTTTTTGGAGCCAGTTTTTCCCCCAATAAAATTACATTTGCAGTCTGTGGGTGAAATCCTGTTCCATGAATTCCAATTCCATAAATTCCAATTCCTTCGGCAAACATTCCAAGGTGTTGATGGAATCCCCTTTATCATGGGGAAACCGCTGAAGGCTGCCGGGGTCAGTCTTTAATTTCAAAAAAATGGCACTGCCAGTAATGTCATCCCAGTGGTGGTAATTTTTGGAAATTACAGGCTCCTCCAATATTGCAGACCCCAGTGCCTTCCCAGAATAAAAGAGATTCTATGGGAGCCTCAGCAACTTCATGGAGGTGGAAGTAACATATTTTTAATTTCCAAAAAATTTGCCACAGCTGATAGTGTCATGGGTCTCACACAGCATGTGATGTGCAATAGGGTTTTTGTGTCCCACAGGCTGAATGTTGTCCATCCTCATCAACTGGTGTGCAGCAAAATGCTTGAGATTTAAAAAGCTATAGAATCCCAGTTTATTTATGTTTAACTTGCTCTCTTATTTTTGAAATTGTTTTTTCCAATTAAAAATTGGTGTTGGTTTTTTTTTTGCACCAGTGCTAGGGGTTGTGAAGTTCATCAGTCAGAAAGGACCAGTCATACTGAACTGTGTGACATAGGCAACAATATTACAGTACTGAAAAAACTTCAGTGAAGCTATTAGTGTTCTATAGTATTCTATTTCTAACAGAATAATAGCTATTAAATGACCTAGTTTACAAGTTTTGTTCTCTTTTCAAACCATCATCCTATCTGGTGGCGACAAACTGGACATGTTAACCATGCATTGCTGTGTTATTTAAATTACAGATGCATTTATAACTAGGACAACTGGCAAAATGGTAGCAAAAGCAACAAGGAGACCTGCAGCAGCTTAAAGACTAACTACCCTGTTTCCCCAAAAATAAGATAGTATGATTTTTCAGGATGCTCATAATTTAAGCCCTATCCCCAAAATAAGCCCCAGTTAAGTAAAAGTCCACCCTCCACCATTGTGCAGCAACCAGAAGATGCCATGACTGCATTTGAATAAACATCCCCTGAAAATAAGCCCTAATGTATTTTTGGAGCAAAAATTAATATAAGACCTTGTCTTATTTTTGGGGAGACACAGTAGTCCATGATGGCATAAGTTTTGGTGGCCTATAGCTTGCTTTATCCAATGAGAATTTCTGGTATATTTACAAGAGTGCAAATGGCGGATGGTATATTTACTAATTTATCCATTTTATTCACCCATATGCTGATTTTCTTCTAGAACTGGGTCAAAGGGTTCTAATTACATAATCAATAGAACATAATTAACATAGTTCATAATAAGAAGAGATTATTTTGGTAGCTCTTACTTTTAGACCCTCATTCTGGTAACTTTGGGAGATGCAATCAATGACTCCTCTGTATTTGTTTAAATAAACCCCATCTGCTTGGAGACGACTCTTTACAACGTCCATAGGAGTAGCAGTCCCCCACGATATTGCCCCTTGAAAAATGGAGAAAACTTATTACAGATACAGAATGGCATTCAGGACTCATTTATTTAAAAGAAAGGTGGAGGTCTTTAGGAAACCAGCAACAGTATAAAAGTTAGATAGAGTTGTAATGATAAATGAAGGTAATCTGAATTTCGCTATCCAGTCCTGTGAATACTTGGGTTGCTTATGTGTCTCATCAGCTCTTCTGTTTGACTCTAGATGATGGTAATGCCTCTAGAACAAGGTTGTCAAATGTAAGCCTTAAGGCCTTATTAGTTATATGGATTTTCCCTTTAACTTATAGGAAGCATGTATACTTTGTATAGTGGTTGTCGTGGGTTTTTCGGGCTCTTTGGCCGTGTTCTGAAGGTTGTTCTTCCTAACGTTTCACCAGTCTCTGTGGCCGACATCTTCAGAGGACAGCACTCTGTCCTCTGACAGAGTACAGAGTGCTGTCCTCTGAAGATGCCGGCCACAGAGACTGGTGAAACGTTAGGAAGAACAACCTTCAGAACATGGCCAAAGAGCCCAAAAAACCCACAACAACCATTAGATCCCGGCCGTGAAAGCCTTCGCGAATACATACTTTGTATAGTTCAACCATTATCTGATCTCAAGAAGTTACTAACGGCAGATCAGCATACGTAACCCAGCTTTCCACTGACATTTAACTCAACAGCTTGAAGCAAGTTTAGTAGTCTATGATTCTTGCTGCAGAAGAGAATTTAGGGAGGCAAATGTTGAGAATTAGATTTTGGACATGTCACATGGCATGTGCTAGGGCCAGAAACACTGGAAATGAAATGAAAAGGGACTCTTTGAAAGTGTTTCATTTTGACATTGTCATTTAGGAGTGTACTCACTTTTGTTGCCAGCGGTTTAGACATTAATGTTTGTGTGTTGCATTATTTTGAGGGGACAGCACATTTGCATTGTTATACAAGCTGTATACTCACTGCCGTACACTGTAGCCAAATGCCATTTCTTCAGTGTTGTCACATGAAAAGATATACTAAAATATTTATGAAATGTGAGGGGATGTTCTCACTTCTGTAATATACTGTATATAGGGTATGTGACAGGCAAGAAAAAAAGAAATTTGGGGAAACAAAGGTAAACAATAGATGTGATTCAATCTGGGAAAGAGATACATGAGAATTCAATATTTTCTATCAAGGATCAATGCATCATATAGATAGGTTTCATAGGATATAATATTTTTATTTAGTCTTGCACCAGATTCTGGGAAATTATTAGACTACAGGGGGAAAAAACTAAAGTATTAAAAGCAGGTCTCCACAGGAACACCATTCAGTTTGGTTTGGTGTTTTGATACAGAACTAGAAATGGGGCATATGGAAAAATGTGTGCTGGTCCATAACCCATCCACAACCCACAATTCACATTGACAATTTTCATCTCATGTGTGAAAAGGTAAGGGAATTTCTGAAGGTATGTTGAAGGTATTTACTAATAATCCCTCCAAAACATAAGGCTAATTTATAACTGAGCATTTCTATTGACTAAGGAGACATCTAAGCTGGTTATTTACTGTGCATGTTACACTTAGTCTTGAATTAAAATTGAATTTAAAAACATCAACTGCAGAGTGCAAAGGTAAGCATGGTTTGAAATAATCTTTTTAGTGGGAAAACTTTTTTTAGATAAGTCACCAGGAGTGATTCAAATTTTGTTCTGTGCAGATATTGCATTTCTCTGTTTTCTGTTCTGTATGATTGCCTGATCCAATACAAGGAGACATTCACTGACAAGTGCCTCTTGCCTCCAAACAGTTTTTTTTTAAAAAAGGCTTTAAAGTCAATTCAGATAGGTATTTGTGCTAAGCCACTTCAGAAAAATAAATTAAAAGAAAGAGATTGAAATTGCCAATTAGCATCTTGTCAGATCAAAGGTACTAGTGATTACAGCAAAATGATAAGCTTGTTGTAGTTATCTGGACAATTACAGTGATTTCATCCATGGAAGGCAGCAGGGACCTACTCTAAAAAACTGTGGATCACAGCCAATCTAAGTGTATTTTCTTTACTGTGAAGTTGCATATTGAAAAGCACATTTTAAAAATCTTTTAGATACAATTAATGCAATACTGACAGCTCCAAATAGAATTTATTTGAGATATTAGAAAAAAATATTTTAAAAAAGTAAAGAAAACTCAGATCTTTGCTGGGTTGAATTTGTTTTCCACAAATATTTGGAGTAAGAGATTTGCTTAAAATTACAAGCAAGAGATGCTTCATGTTCTTTTAAAACTGTTTCTCCCACTGCAATAAAACAATTGGTGCACTTGTAAAGATGTCTCGGGCCATTTTGTACTTCAGTGGTGGCCATTATGTTCCATTTTGTCTCACAGTTTTTGGCCTATCAGCCAAAATCAGTACATCATAGGGGAAATCCTGTTGCTTAGTACAGTAAGTGACAACTATAACAGGCCTATTGAATCACTGGAACATGCAGAAGAGATGGCTCATTAAATCTCAACTGAGCCAGTGGGCAATAAGGTGCAACTTACTAAGCTAAGCACAAGTGTGTACTTCACAATTGTCCGGAGGGTCATTGTCCTTTGGGAAAACACTGAGCTAAAATAGGAACTGAGCACTTTAGGATCTCCTGCCATGGGAACTTATTCATCCTTGTTCTGAGTTCATTAAAATTGGCTTTCTTAAAATCCAGCGTATATATGTGACTACACTCTGCTTTGGTTTCCTTTGAAATCAAGAATTAGTAGAACATAGTCACTCTCGCCAGCGTTCCCCTTATTGCCACTTCCTCCACCGAGTTGTCTCTACAGGCACTCCTCACTTAATAGCTGAGTTCTGTTCCTATGATTAGGTCATTAAGTGAATTGGTCAATAAGTGAGGAGCAATAATACTGTATACAAGGGTAATAAATCACATGCTGTCAAGAAGGGGCGTGGCATGCATTTACAAGGGTTGTAAAGCATCATAAATCCGAGTGGTCATTAAAGGGGTAAATTGTTAAGTGAGGAGTGCCTGTATTGGTTACAGTCATGTCAAGGATAACTAGTTCTCTATCATATTGATATGGTTAAATATTTGTTGAAATTACAATAACACATTACTTAGGAATATCATCTGCTTCACGCAGGTGTTTCTAGTACATTGGCCTAGAGGAGTAGCTTTAGGATGATGCCAGTGTTGTGAAATGGTAGACAGTCTTTCAATTAACTGGGTCAGTTATCCAGTAACTATGTTATATTCCAGTGAGCCATTGCCAAAGTACCAAAATTATTGCCTCAATTAAACTTATACTCTTAACTGTATGCCTGCCCTTTAGTAACTGTAAGCAAACATTTAAAAACATCAAAATACCTTGATTTTATAAACTTGAATTCTGTCCTTCAATAGAAATGGCAAGGAGTAATAAAGGTACCTCAGTATAAAAGGATATTATTCTAAAAAGTAATTAAAATATATCTGAGATGTAGAATTAAGCTAAGGATTATGGCAAGCAACTTTCAATGGAGCTAAAGGCCAGCTGAAAAAGAAAATGTAAGCAGAACTGCTCCAAACCCCATACCAATCCAGCACCTTTCTTCCCTAGTATACTGCCAAAGGACTGGAGATGCATGTCATTGCTAAAGAGTTAGTTGACTGCTCTGTCTGCAGGCATGTCAGTTATGACTGAAACTTACAAGGCACAAGAAAGCCAGATAGTTCTGTCATTGTTTAGGTAGAGAATGGGGCTTCCACTGAACCTAGTCCACAGTTTTAGCCCAAAACTAAAGGGATTTTTCAACATTCTAAGATTAAAGAAACATTAAGCTAACATGGAATTTTTCCATGTTGTAAATGCATTTACTACATGCTCCCTTTTGACTTCATGTAAAATATAATCAATTTGCTCCTGATGGAAGCCAGCATTTATGTTTACACTGTTATGTCACTACAAATGGGGACATAATAGGATTTGCCCTTGCAAACTCTTCCAGTCTAGCATCCCTGTATATGTGACTTGATCTCCACCTGCTGGTTAATATAACCAGTCTATGAATGTATAATAATTTTTTTAAAAAAAATTCTAAAGATAATGGAACTGCTTAGAAATCCCCTAGATTCGTGTTTTTGTTGCTCAGTTGTCATTTCACATGGAAACATAAAATGAATGCAAAATTCCTTATTTAGATTTTTAAATCACTTAGCTCTGAATCATATTTTTTTACTAAATAGGAAGGCTCTGCTAAAACATTTATCCCAGGAGATTTTAACTCTTCACTTAGAATTTGATAGAAAAGAGATTCCTTTCCAAAAGGAAGTTCAGGGGAGCAGAAATTTTAGAGAAATTCTCATACTTGAGATTCAGGATGCAAGTGCGGATGTATGTAAATATGCCCTGGTGGATTTCCATGACGACGTGGGGATTTGAACTGAAGCCTCCTGTTTACAACAATCTGTCTAATACATCACAGTGACTCTTGTATGGAATTATATACAGTATAAATATAGGCTGAATTCCCATAGCGTTTAGCATAAGCCAATTTGTAACTTTCAGACTGTTGCTCTCAGACCAACCAACTGCCCCGCTGCAGTAATTGGCAGAGAGACTTGGTCTGACAGGCAATTGACTTCATTGGGGGTGGGTTTTGAGGCACAAGGACACATTCAGAGTAGAGTAGGGGAAGGTCTTGCTAGGCCAAGGCACACACACACACACACACACACACACACACACACACACACACACACACACACACACACACACACACACACACACACACACACTGTGATTTTTTTTTTAGTTTTTAATTTAATTTTATTATGTTTTTACTGTACATTTTTACTCTTATTTGTTTTGTATCTTTTATATTTTATTTGGTCTGTTGTTATATACCCTTGTCACTATGTAACTGGTATTGTTTAATTTGTTGTAAACCGCCAGAGTGGCCTTGGCTGCCAGATGGGTGGTATAAAAATCAAATAAAAATATATTTTTTTCCTTTAATGGGAGCAGAAGGGGATAGAGAAACCATGTGCACAGTCAGCTTGGGGATGGTTGTGCAATTTTTACTCCCAGATAATGGGTAGGGCTACAGAGTGATACACATCCACACAGTTCAAGCTGGAAGAATTATGGTAAGGGTACTGGCTTTTTGTGTTAAAGAAAAATGAATAAATAACGAGGCATCCCCCCCTGCCCCCAGATAGATTAGTTTGGCTTCCCTCCTCCAAAGCAAATGTGATTAATTATCATAGATGCAAATTATGTAACAAAATAGTTTTTTTCAGTTTAACACATTACAATATAAGTTTGGGTCCCAGTTCTGAGAGACATGCTCCATTCATAATAAATATATAAACACCACATACACACCACATTACTATTGCTGCAGCTGTTACAGAAAAGAGAATTTCAGGAACGTTGTGCATAAATAACCTAGAATTTAATATAGAAGTAATTGTTTCTGGTAAAGGAGAGCAGAACTGTTCAAACCTGCAACGCCACCAGCCATCCATACAGAAAAGGGACTTGGAGAAAGGCATCCTTCTGGAGTGATCCATCCACAAAGAAATGTGTAAGGGATGAAGTAGAAGCAATATCCGGGAATATCTCGCAGAAGCATTGCAGAAGAACCTCGGTATAATCCTGCAAAACCTTCTTCCCTAAGGATACTGCCCAAACAGTGAACCGGCCCTCTGTAGACAGTCTGTACTGAAAAGCCAGTTGTCCTGTCCTTCAAGTCGAGGTTGGCTGCAGAAGCAAATCAAAACAAATGCTTAATATCCAAAACCAATAATTCTGCGGAATTTTCTTTCATATGCTTGTTTGTTGTTGGTTATTTTTCTATCTGGTTAAAGGCTGCATTATCAAACATTATTCAGCAGAAAATACATGTTTCCCACATCCTGTGTAGATGCAGCCTATTGTTGTTGTTATGGGCTATCAAGTGATCTCCAACTTATGGCAACCCTACATATGAGTGGCCTCTGTACAGTATGTACACTCTTTACTCATATATAAAGAATATCTTATGCCTATAATTATTGATTGGATTTATGCCTCCCACCAAATCCTTAGTAAGAAACATCCATTTGTCTGGTGTACACATTTTGATGTAGGCGTATGTGTAAACATTCTCACATAGAATTCCTAAAGTATTTTGCCATTTTGGGGTTGGAGGAGAGGTTTACTTATTAAAATTTCTAATAGGATTCTTGGGGCTGCAAAACTGTGGTACACCCAATGTCAGTAAGCTTTTCCAAGACCAAAGAAACCTGTAAGGTTTGGGGTGTCATACTTCAGACAATATAACATATTGAGACAAAAAAAAAGAGAGTCCTGTGCTGTATTTTGATAAGCCACAAGGCCAACAGGCAGAAACTGCATATGCTACTTAGTCAGCGGACTAGTCCCATTTATCAGTGGTGGGACACTGGGAATTTCTATGGGTTAAGGAAATTAAAGACCCATTGACTTTAAAGTTAACCTACTCTTAACCTGACTCTTACCCTTCTGCCGACCTTCAATGTACTATCATTTCTTTGGGGTCAGAAAATACCCCAATAGTCACTCAATGCAAGTAACAGGGGTATCAGTGAAAGCTATTTATCCCCAGGGTGTGTGTATGTACTTCCCAAGGGCATCTGGTCAATCACTATGGAAGATGCTAGGTTAAATTGACCTTTGATGTGGTCCAGCAGACTTCTTTTCATGTTCTTATGTTATAATCTTTGGTTCAAAACATGTTGCCAAACAGAGACAATGTTGGAGATTTATGGTGGTCTTTTCTGCCTCTATCAATATATTCTTCTGTACCTCTATATCTCCACTGAGATGAAGTGTTTCCTGTCCCACATATAGATTTCTCAGGAGATAGATAAAGTGGTCAGGCACTCCCACTTCTTTAAGGAGTTGCCATAGTTTGCTGTGGTCCACACAGTCAAAGGCTTTTGCATAGTCAATGAAGCAGAAGTACATGTTTTTCTGGAACTCTCTGGCTTTCTCCATAATCCAATGCATATTAGCAATTTGCTCTCTGGTTCCTCTGCCCCTTCGAAATCCAGCTTGTACTTCTGGGAGTTCTCGGTCCACATACTGCTGAAGCCTAGCTTGGAGGATTTGGAGCATAACCTTGCTAGCGTGTGAAATGAGTACAATTGTATGGTAGTTGGAGCATTTTTTGGCACTGCCCTTCTTTGGGATTGGGATGTAAACTGATCTTTTCCAATCCTCTGGCTGAGTTTTCCAAACTTGCTAGTTGTTGTAAGCCACCTAGAGTGGTCATATTTGACCAGATAGGCGGGGTATAAATTAAATAAATAAATAAATAAATAAATAAATAAATAAATAAATAAATAAATAAATAAATAAATAAATAAATAAATAAATAAATATTGAGTGTAGAACCTTAGCAGCAGCATCTTTTAAGATTTTAAATAGTTCAACTGGAATGCCATCACCTCCACTAGCCTTGTTGTTAGTCATGTGTGACATCCACCCTGTGCCCTCTATGTTTCCCACAAACCACAGGCCCACACTGGTGACATTCTTTCACTGACAGCAGTGGATTTCTTTTATCCACAGTGGAAATTATTTTACTCAAACACTGGCTGCCAACAATTGGCAGTTTTTATTAAAGTTACAGATGTGCTTTATTTAGTTACTCAAAACCACCATCATTGAAATTGTATCTATTGTTTACTTATTTGCAGTTTAACCAACTTATGCAACTTGTTACAGCTCACACTTCTAACTTTGTATATCTAGCTCTGTCTCTAAATCTCTCTATTTCATTTCTCTCACTCTCTCTAACTATCCCTAACTGACGCAACTCACTCCCTCACAAGACTCTGCCTCCGCTCCTCCTGTCCTCCCATTGGCCCGTGCAAATGAGGTTCCGATGCAATTGACAGGAGTGGGTGACACGGGCATCTGCCACACCATGATTTCTAAGGCCCACTTGACTTCACTCTCCAGGATGTCTGGCTCAAGGTCAGCAACTACATTGTCTGGGTTGTCCGGGCTATCCAAATCTTTCTGGTATAATTCCTCTGTGGATTCTTGCCACCTCTTCTTGGTGTCTTCTGCTCCAGTTGGGTCCCTCCCATTTTTGTCCTTTATCATGTCTATTTTTGGACAAAATGTTCCTTTAATAGTTCCAATTTTTTGAACAGATCTGTATTTCCCCCTTTCTATTATTTTCCTCTATTTCTTTGCACTGTTCATTTAAGAAGGCCCTCTTGTCTCTCCTTGCTATTCTTTGGAAATCCGCATTCCATTTTCTGTAACTTTCCCTATCTCCCTTGCATTTTGTTTCCCTTCTCTTCTCTGCTATTTGTAAGGCCTCGTTGGACAGCCACTTTGCTTTCTTGCATTTCCTTTTCTTTGGGATGGTTTTTGTTGCTGCCTCCTGGACAATGTTACGAGCCTTTATCCATAGTTCTTCAGGCACTCTGTTCACCAAATCTAGTTGTTAAATCTGTTCTTCACTTCCACTGTGTATTCATAAGGGATTTGGTTTAGATTATACCTGAGTAGCCCAGTGATTTTTTCTAGTTCTAACTGAATATTATAAAACAGCTAAATTATAAATTTTGTGTCTATACTAAACCCTTTTTTCTGTCTTTGTGAAGATTTTATGAAAATTCTTGTCTCTGGAAAAAAGGTCAAGCCACATAACATTCACACAGTATGATAACCTTTTCTTGGCTTGATTGTGATATTTTGATGTTGTTACATAAATTAATGGTTACTACTAATTATTAAGATTGCTGCTTTATATATCATTCTGGCAAGTGTACTATATTTCACCAAGATTCAATCTTCCTTCTTCATTGCATAACTGGCTTGAACTGCATTGCTTAGAACAGAGAAAGACACTCTCCAGAGAGATCATCTCTGGACCTTGGACAGACAAACCCACTTCTGCAACCTCCACTTGACAACAATTCTGCATTAAAAGAAACACGCACACAAGAGGCCCCTTGCACCTGCTTGTGGCCAAAAATATGTTTAAAAACATTTAAAAACAGACAGTATGATGGCGGGGGAGCCTAAAGGCTGTTTCACTAAGTTTGCTCAAAAAATTCTCATGCCCCATATATGGCACAAAGAACACCTTAAGCTCTCAAATTGTTTTCAGTTTTCAACAATAGCAGCAGCAAGAACAACAAAACAAATGTTTGTTGATTATAGCAAAAAAATAATAACACAAAAGAACAAATAATAAAGACAAAAATGTTGTGGTACCTTAATTGTCTTTTTAATGTTATTTTATATTTTTTATTTTTCTTTGTTTTTGCCTGTAATGCTTGCACAGACTAATACGACTACCTCTTCTGAAATTACAAGTGTGTGTGTGTGTGTGTGTGTGTGTGTGTGCGTGCGTGCGTGCGTGCGTGCGTGTGTGCGTGCGTGTGTGCGTGTGTGTGTGTGTAGTTTTGGGAGTCTTGGAATGCTTGGGGGGGGGCTTCCTGTTACCTACCCTGGCATAGAGATTAACTGCATCTAGATGTTTGATGTTAGAAGAAGGAGAGACTAGATGCCCAGGCCTTCAGGCATATTGAAAAGCAGTGCAATTGATATATACTGTATAACCCATTTCAATTCATCACTCACATCCACATAACCATAGTTACAACCCTACTGTTGAAAACAGTCTTTTAATTGTTGGATGGGCTAAATCCAACTGCTGATCCTAGCTAAAACACTGGACTTGAATGAATGGGACTTGTTAAATCAGCTCATATATTTTATAAATCCCATTGATAAAATGGATCTTTTCTGTTTTGGACTAACGGTTGAATTTAACCAAATGACTATACAGAACACAGACAGAGTTCTGACTCCTATCCTCTGAAGATGCCAGCCACAGAGACTAGCGAAACGTTAGGAAGAAAAAAAACTTCCAGAACATGGCCAAGCAGCCTGAAAAACCCACAACAACCATTGGATCCTGGCCGTGAAAAGTCTTTGAGAATACATCAAATGACTATAATTTAAATGTCACTTCTTCAGCCAGTTAGGTAAGGCATCTGTCACAAAGGATACGTGGTACCATGTTACATTTAACATTAATACTGTTAACCATTAAAAATCCACAAATCTACAGAACTCAGGTAATTTTTAAATACAATTCATTTGATTTGCAAATCAAATAATTCTGTGTGTCTATGTGTATGAGATTTGTTTCACCCAAAGGAGGAATCAAATGGAATCAGACTTAATCCAGTACCATAGAAGGGACTTCACTTGCAATCAAAAACTGTAATTTCTGTATATTGTTGAAAGGAATGTTTTTTTAAAACATGAACCATATTTTGCTCTGCCGCAGTATGAACAGTCCACAATACTGTACATATTAACTCACTATTAAGCCCATTGTATCTAAACAGGTATTCTATTCGGTCATTTTGTGTATGGACGGAATGCACATTAAAAGAGGGCATGCTAGCTCTGCACTTTCCATCAACACATATGAAAGCCACAGTCTGAAGAACAGGAGGCTGATGTATCTGTGTAGCTGTTCCCTGTGAACTAGAATCCTGATTCCAGATAAGTTCTTACTTCGTAAATTCAATATGAACCAAATAGACAAAAATTTCCCATTCCAAGTTAACTAAATTGGATTTCATCTTATCTTATGTGTCGTCAAGTTGGAACCGACTTACAGTGCAGTGACCTTAATAGTACTTTCAAGATAAGTGAGGTATTTAAGGGGTGGTTTTACCACTTCCACCCATCCCTTCCATGAGATTCCATGGCTGAGCAGGGATTCAAATGCAGGTCTCCTGAATTCTAGTCCATTGCTGTATCCACTACACCATACTGGGTATCCCAGATTGGATTTACTAAACTGTCCACCATTTTCTACTATTTTTCCATCTTATAAATCAGTTTCTCACATTTTCTTATATCAATATAGATACACGATTCTATTCTATTCTATTCCTGTTCTGTTTTGCAGAATGATCATAGATAGACTAAATTACTCTGAAGCACAAACATAGATTTTAAAAAACCCACAGAAACATGAGATTCTTACCTGCCAGAAACGTTTGTGTCTGCATCTGTAGCCTTATTTTGACCAGGTCAACTGGACCACCAATTCCTACAGAAAAAGCCCCTGTTGTCATGCTTGCTAAAGCCAAGTCTGTGAGTGCAGGGGGCTGATTAGGATTCCCATAGCGATATTGGCTAATGAGCCTTTGGGTATTGCTGAAGACACCAAATACCACTGAGTTGTAGACAGCGATGCAAACTAGTGGAAAAGACATTCCCTTAAAGAAGCCAGCAATCTGCAGGTGAAACAGGACAGGTATGCAATCAAAATAGTTCTAATTGTCCCTCTAAGAAAGCATTCAAATAGCAGCATTACTAGGACAACACACCTCTATATTATATAGACATCTAACCTTGTGTTTATGTTCAGCAGAGTATATTTTCTTCCCTTTTCAGCAAACGTTTTGTTTCATTAAATTAGCTGAACAAGGAAAGGTATGTCTACCTTCGATTCTAATTATTTTATATTAGCATAGTAGGAAGGAAGCAGCATCAGGGGAGGATCGGGCACACAAATTGTGGATTTTAGATCGTTCTTGCAGTTGCATTTTAAGAGGGAAAGGGTTCACTTCAGAAGAAGAGAGTGAAGTTTGAATGAAACAACATTAATTCCTCTGTTTATGCTATAAAAGGAGGTAAACTATTTTGATGCAAACATACTTCCAGAAATACAAGTATTTAGAAAATCTTTTATTCCAGGTTGGGGAAAAAATAATTTTTGAAATATTTTGAAGGTTTTCTTTTAATTCTTCAGAATTGCATATTGTACTATAGCCACTGATAGCCCCCAAGAGAAACCTTTAGTCTACAGTGATTTGCCACTGATGATGACATCATCTTCATTGTGCACAAGGAACTGTGCAACAGGATTTCAACCTAGAAGTTCTAGAGCTTCAGCGCTGTGAGCCCTGGATTCACTATATCACCCTGGATTCACTCTGTGCACCCATGCTTCTTCATATAAGGAAGACGTGACATTTGAAACTTCCCCTAATTTCATTCAGCGCAGTGCAGACAGAATTAATTGAGGATGCTGAAGGGCACTTGAACAACGTCCAGCTCTTTCTGGATGACCATATTCCCAATACATACTGTGTTTAGTTACTTCAGATCACAGTGTTAAGCAATTAATGTTTACTGTCTCTACTTGCACAGACTTTATTGGTCTGAAGAAAAAGAAGCACACAGATCTAGTTAAATTTTTCTTATCTGTCAGTGGTAGGACTCGGAAGGATAGTTTGTCAAGTCACATATTTAAACCTTCTTCCTTCTCTTGATATACATCAAACAAAATAATGTACTTACACATTCATTTCTGTACACAGTGAGGACACAATTAAATGTGCTGCCATAACCTTGTCCAGCTTGTAAGCGAGTCTGCAGGAGAACACAATTAAGAAATGTAATCAGAATAGTAAGCTCCCAGTTGAATAAGAGTGTGTGCCTTGGAAACAATGCACACTTTATTTGACTATAATTCCTGCTTTGTTCCAAAGGAAAAAAAAACACATGGCAATGGGGCAAAAAAATGTCCATTGTGCTTTTTTCGCATTACCATAAACAAATCTAAGCCATCTCTTATTTCAAACACGGTGGTCAAAATTCAATGTAGCAGTGAGAATTATGCAGGATCTTTAATGGGGATTCTGAGAGCCATTGCAGAGTAGTGGGTAGTTATGGACTAAAACTTGTGTGACTTCAAATCCCCACTCAGCCATGGATGTTTGATTTAAACTGAAACTCATGAGAGGATGGCAGTAGTGAAAGCACTGTTTAAATACCTCACCTATCTTGGAAACATTGCTATGGTCACCATAAATCAAAACTGATTTGACAGCACATCACATTGTGCATACTATTGGGATTAGCCCTGTAGTGTCAAATCTCTGTGGACTGATTTATTATTATGAGCTTCCAAAGTTGTCATAATGTCACTATGCCCTTTATAGGTGAACTAAATTCAGTTTTAGTCCCGACTTCTACCCAGAGGAAGCCCATTGAAATGAATGGGACTTGTTAATCACAACCAGAGTGAAAGGGGTGGGTAAGAAGCTAGTGATAATGACAGGGAAGAGTTGGAGAGAAAGGGAGCTACGTGACATGTACAGTTGAAACTTTCCTGGGACAATAAAACATTGCCCTCTGAATGGTGACAGCAGTTTAAATCCAAGGTGCAATATAGAAAAGTTCGCATAAACTTTCATGTGCTCTTGACCAAAGAAAGGACAGAATCTCTCTTTCCCTCTCCCTCTCTCTTACGCAGTCACAGACCCAACTTAAAGAAAGGGAGGAATCTTACACAGAATCGCATGGTAAATTGACAGAAGGCCTAAAAGGAACTTGAACTCAAACTGCTATCTGGGAATGCATGCCAAAATGAACAAGAAAAAAAATGTATGTGGAATTCGGCACCAGTATTACTTTAACTTCTGTAGTTTATTATCTTCCCAGTCTGTTAACAGATTTGTTATTCAAGAATTAATTAAAAGCTACCATGCAGGGCTGAGGACGAGCATATGTGGAAACTGAAATGCATAGTTATTCATCCACAAACATAGACTATAAGAGCAATATAATGTAGTCACATTAAAATCCAGAACATGCTTGAACTACCTTTGAAATTCCTCTTATTCACTGACCATCACATTAATTTCTTCTTTGCTGGCAGATCTTGTAGTGGGCTCAAAGTGTTGCAAAGAGTCTCAAGTATTCATTTTGAACATGGTCTACATGGCTTACTTGTCGGATTCAAGAGACCTGCTGTACTGGAACATAATCCACATTCAATACACTCAGCCATTCAGCACTGTTCCCCATTCTCACTCCCTTACTCCTCAGGATGCGCCTTTGCTGTGTTCAATCAGCAAATGCTGAATAACTCTATGACTCCACTTTTTAATTCACTCTTTTGAACCTTTCCCTTCCCCCTACCGATTTGGACACGTAACAAAGCTGCCTCGTTGCTATTCTCAGGCTGGATCCAGATCCAAGGGCAAAGAAAGTGCCAGCTTGACAGTTGTCTTTTAAGTATTGAAAGATGCGTTGCTTGTTTCTTGGCAGTGCTCTAGCCAAAGTAGAAAACGTAGCAAAAATGTTCCCAGAAGATCTATTGTTGGCTTCTAGCACGAACTACCAGCAATGACACTAAAACCATCACTTTGCCAGAACTGGAAGGCATACATTCCTTCAGCACTTACTTCCAGGGAAATTCACGGACAACACAGCAAATTGGAGATACACAAATGCGATCAGTGCCCTGGCACCGTTGCTACAGGAAGGGGATTCATTCAATCAAACACTGTACTGCAGTGCTTTTTGCTTTAGAAGCAAAAGCATACTCAGCCACAGCCCAGTTCATGAGAACTGAGCTCCTCTGACACTGGACCAGCTTCCAGAAATACCCTGCCTCTGAAGATAGATGGCGTTGTCTCCGTCACAGTGTGTGAAGGCCCAAACGATGGGAATAGGTTCTCATAACAAGCTCAGGTCCAGTCCCCCATTTGACTTTGTGGGGCTTCTTTCTCATCTGTAATGTCAGGGTACATTGAAATGATCCTTCTGATGCACTCCAAACAATCCAAAAGCTGGGTTGCATTGGCATGCTGATTCTGCATATACTTTGTGCCTTCTTTGGGATTATTTTCAAACCATGGTAGCCAAAAGGAAACTACAGCATTGAAAGAATTGGCCAAAGGAATTAGCAGCAATATTTGCATTTTAACCACCAGGCCACCAATATAAACTTCTACATCATAGGATTCTGGCCATTATTTTTAGCATGCAGGCCATCATACCCGACCTTCATGTTAGAAACAATGGCCAAAATCCTACACTGACATAAGTGTAATAGCACAAATCATGGCAGAAAATTGCTGTTAATTAAAGAGTTATTTCTTGCACTCTTTCTTATGTTCCACTTGCACAAGTTGGCACATGAGAAGAATCACGAACAACAACTTAATCAGCAATTTGCCACTGTGAATTACTTCCGGTACATACACCAGTGTAAATACTAAATAGAATTCTGACGAAAATGAAAGGCAGGTCTTTCCTTCTACATGCATAGAGTTCTATAGCTTTTCTTTGTCTTGAATAATATAGGTTATCCTGTTAATTATGGATAGGGTCCCTTCTCCAAATATATATGTCCCACCTCCCTGTTTGAACATTGAGGAAAAAAAGAAGCAAAGTATTATGATCTGAAAACCTCTCCCAGTGTTTCTGTGGCAGATTGATGCTAAATCTGATAAAGAAGAGGAGCAAGGCCAGTGGAGTCAGCAATCCTGAAAAGTTTGTCAGTCTTATGTGAGTGTACAAAACAATATTTTAGCAAGGCAGTATGTTGAATGAGAATATGCTTCCACATATCTGCATTTTCCATCCAGGCTGTGCTTGAGATGGCATATTCTGCACAGGCATCTTTCACAAGTCACAAAGAATTACCAAGGGGTTGTTGAGGGTTTTTCAGCACTCTGTCTTCTGAAGATGCCGGTCACAGAGACTGGCGAAATGTTAGGAAGAACAACCTTCAGAACACGGCCAAAGAGCACGAAAAACCCACAACAACCATTAGATCCCGGCCATGAAAGCCTTCACGAGTACAATTACCAAGGGCTTGTGACTGTGGTCTGCTACTCCTTTGATAGCTCTCTGATCACAGCTACTAGTTATGTGAACAAATAATGCATAACATTAAGCCCTCCGCCAGTCATAGGGCACAAGACTGAATCTGTGGGCTCTGAGGCGTGCACTAGAAAACTACATTACAACAAGAGGAGATCTCATAGACATATCCCACTGGGTATTCCAAATGATATAATTTTTACTATGACTATTTCTTAAATCTTCAAAATTACTCCTATGTGTATTTGTTTCCCCTTGTTAATGATAGTATAAAATCAGTTATTTTTTAAAATGCTTGTCATAGCAGTAAAGTATGACACAACATCAAAAGGAATGATAATAGGGAGATGTTAAACTCCATCTTTATGGGCATCAATACTGAATCATTCCTTCAGGATTGCCTTGAAAGGAGACAGATATTTGACTAAAAATACACAGGGTGGAGTTCAATGCTGTCTTAATTTTATTATACTCAGGAGGACCTATTGACTCCTGTAAATAGTTGAAGGTTTGAGGTACTCATATATTCAGTAGTACAGATTGGGTGAAGCCCTCACTGAAAATCAGTGTGACATGTTCATTATAACTAACTTAATCTTGCTGACTTTACAAGAGTTTAGCATTACTAACCTGGCATAGATCTGTTACATTTCTACCTAACCCAAGGCAGTATTCTGTGTATTCTCTTCCAGTTTCTCTTCCAAATGTCCTTCACTTCAAAAAGGAATCCATACCATAGGTGTGTTCAGCTATAATCTGAAGGCCAAATGATGTAGTAACCCTGCTAAAGTTAAGGATACATGCATCTGATTGATGAGAGGATGAGAACAGTACCTTTGAACCTTGTAATTAGTTGTATATTTTTTCTCTTTAAAACCAGGTCTTTATTCTGTTCTTTATCATTTAAAAAATATGCAGTAAGAGTACCAGAATATATCATGCTATGAAGTCAAATTATGCCATCTGTCCAAGGTTCTCCCTATGAAACACTGGAGATGGACCATAAAAACCTTTCATATAATTTTTATTGCGTCAAAATGCTAAAACAATAAAATAATAAAATAAGACATGCCTTCCAATGAATTCTAAATTGCCAGTACAGTAATATTGTATTTCTAGGACAAGAAAATTGCATGTCAAAGGCAGAGAAAGGTCCTCCTGTTATACCACATAAATGCAATATATTGTTGTGTACAATCTGGGGAGGAGAAGAACTAAAGTGAATTGAAAGATTGTGAATGTTCAACTGTGCAACAATTGGAATAGAGGGTGTGTGTGTGTGTGTGTGTGTGTGTGTGTGTGTGTTTTCCTGGTTTCCACTGATTATGTGTGAAGATATCTCACTACAAAGAGCTTCACCTTTTTTCATAGAAGTGGATTACATCTTCTATATTGGGATACATAAAACAGAAAATAAAATTTTAAAAAGCTCCCGCCATCTATAGTATTTACCTTTACTGTGTCCAGAGGATGTCCCACGAGTACTGCTGCAGCTCCTGAGAATTGAAATAAAGCAATTGTATGAGAAACAAACAAACAACAAAGAAAATATCTTGCTTTTAACCTCAAGGAATGATGCGATCTCAAGGAACTATAGCTCTCTGTGTTGTAATTCCCAGCCAGGTCCTGGCGGCAGAATTCCGTAAACTGAAGGAATGATCATTGCAGAATCAGATTGGAAGAACTGCAAGTCAACAAAAAAAAGAGTATTTTCTTAGGGGAGTTCTGAGGAAAGTGGAAGGATGAAGAACCTGTGGCCCCCAAGATGCTAGTGCCCTCCAATTCCCATCAGCTGCAACCTACATTAAAGATGATGGAAATCAGACTCTAGCCACAAGGCCCCACTCTGAAAAATTAAGGAAGAAATCAAACAGCTACTAAAGAGGAGAATGACCCAGCACAGGAGGGGCAATGGCTCAGGACCACAATCAGAAGTGTTCCTTCATTTGAAGGACAAAGGGCACACATTTGATGACCAAGATGTACTCATTCTCGATCATCCCGGAGTGTAGGACACACAACAATTGGCTTAAGTTAAAGGAGGCCAGGCTTTGGTTGAATACCAGGAAAAACATCGTAACTGTTAGAGCAGTACGACAGTGGAATCAGTTACCTCGAGTGTTGGTGAGTGCTCCAACACTGCAGGCATTCAAGAAAAACATAGATAATCACCTGGCAGATATGCTTGCTTGCTTGCTTGCTTGCTTGCTTGCTTGCTTGCTTGCTTTATTTATTTATTTATCTATCTATCTATCTATCTATCTATTTATTTATTTATTTATTTATTTATTTATTTATTTATTTATTTATTTATTTATTTATTTATTTATTTATTTATTCCTCACACCATCTGGCAACCTGGACACTCTGGGCAGCTTTGATTGTATCCCTGCATTGAGCAGGGGTTTGGACTTGATGGGCTTGTAGGCCCCTTCCAACTTCACTTTTCTATGATTCTATGATTTTGGACCAAGAAGGTAGGTGGTTTGAGAGAGGGGTCAGGGAGGCCATATATGTGCATATAGAAAATCCCTCACTCAACAGGGGTGGAGGCCTTATGTAGATACAATCTGTCTCCTATTTATCATGCTGCCCTTTCACCTGTCCTCAGAAAGATCAGAACCACACACCAGAATGCCACTGTTAACAGCCATTAATGACCCATGACAATTGGTGGAGAAGGACTGCAGAAGTGGGATTATCCCACACCCCAGTCCTTTGTCTGGAAGAGGATCGTATAGGGATACCAGCTCTCCTCAGACTGAAGAAGCTACCTGGATGAGTAGTGAAACATTTCAGCCTGACAAGAAAGAAGTCCATTTGCCATGACACAATCTTTATTTTAGGGCAAGATGGACAAAGTGAAACCTGTGGGCTACCTATGGCAGCCTTTGCCTTTCCCAGAGCTCATAATGCAACAATTTATTTGAATAAAATGATGTCAAATAACACTCCTGGAAGATCTGAGGTGAGCATTTTTTATAGTCTCTGTCACCCTCCCTAGATATCTTTCATGCCTGAAATAGACATTGCTTCATTGAAAGGTTTGAAACAATGATTACATCATTGGCTTGGATTAGGGATTATATCAGGCTGCTGATTTAGTATTTTTTTTAATGTACTGGTTTCAACTTTTCCATATCTGGAATCAAAATTACTTAGACCTTCAATACTTTAGCTGGTTTTGTCAGACAAAATACGATTATGCTGTGCAAGTATGTAGGTGACAGCTGATTAACTAATTAATATCCCACACTTCTTCTACAAAGGACCCAAGACAGTTTATCTTCTCTGAAAAGTGTCCACAGTCCTGCATTTTCAAAAATTGACAGTCCACCTTGATGGAAGATATATACTTTAGATATACTAATAAAATTGATCTCTTTATGCTTGCAAATACGTAGGTTTAAGGGCCAAACCAAATGCTACGGACATGCTGCCATTGAAAACAGAGACCTAACAGTCTCCCAAAGATGTTTCTTGTGGACCTGTCAAATATTAAAACAAGCTAATGTGCAAAGTTGTGAAAATCCTGCGGCATTCATACATCCGCAGCATCTAAAGTAATCCCTTTTCTAATTATAGCTGTGATGCACAGTTTGGCCTAAAAGAAAGGTTTATGATGACATGTAATTTCAAATTAACACCATTAACAGCACATACATGAATGTCTTTCTTTCCTTACATGTTCTTCTGTTGTGTGGCTCTTGCAGAATTCAAACGTTGCATTATAAAGGCAATCTGGTGAACTTACGGGCTTCTTTTTTATGTATTATATATTATCTAATCAGCACGCTAACAAAGATAATGTGCAAGGCAAATGATCTTCCTGTCATACAGTGTAAAAGGAGAACTTTATTTTTGGTAATGTGAGTATGCAATATTTGCTCGTAATACATCACCATGATAGCTGCTGTTGTACATTACTGTAAATGTGATAGGCCACTCTACATTTTCCTTGGCAATAATTATCCTTGCAATTTATAGCCCTACAGTGTAAACAACTACTGTAATATCTGAGACAGCTACCTCACAGCTAATAGAATGAACCACCTGATAAGTCTAGTGAGGGCTCTGGAAGGAATTGGACCTAAGAATCTTCCAGTTGGGGAAAAAAAAAAAATTCACCGGAGGAACAGAAAAGCATGTCCCAATATTTTAAATGGCTAGGCTACAATATGAAGTATACTCTTTCCTTACTTTTTTCATAGAAACAAAAAGGTTTTTTTTTCCTTAGGGTATATATTGTATGTATTGAACACAAGAGTTACAAAATCTTATATGGAAAATAATCTAGAATGAAAGGATCCGCCAGCCTTTGAAAATAGTTACTGTTTTGGACTGAGAATCTCAGAAATTTCCAAACAGCCTCCTATGAGTTGTAGTCAAGAAAGCAGATTTTCCAAGCTCTGTGCTCAGTTATATGAAAAGACTAAAATGTGAACTTCCATTCGTTGCATACACTTTCTTCCCGAGTTTAGGTACAGCTGTTTGATTCCTTGTATTTCTTGTTGGATTGTTAAAGTTCCTGGATTTATTGCAGAATTCCTTCTTCGATCTTTCTTATGACAATATCAAGCAGCTTTTAAGGTGAAACGTGTACCTTCTCATATAATCCTAAAATAGAGCTAGTACAAGATATTTACAGTGTATGTATGGGCATCAGAGGGAAACAATACAGTGGTGCCCCACTGGACGATTACCCCGCTTGACGACGAATCCGCTTAATGAAGTTTTTGCGATCGTTTTGCGATTGCAAATGATGTTTAGATGGGGGAATTTCACCGAATGTTGATCAATTCCCTGCTTCAGGAACCGATTTTTCGCTTTACGACAATCAGCAAACAGCTGATGGTCGGGTTTCAAAATGGCCACTGGCTATAGAAAATGGCTCCCCACTGTGTTAGGGACAGATTCCTCGCATTACAGGCACCAGAAAATGGCCACCATATGGAGGATCTTTGCTGGACAAGCGGATATTTCGCCCATTGGAACGCACTGAATGGTTTTCAATGTGTTTCAATGGGTTTTTTATTTCGCTTGACGACGATTTTGCTCTACAGCAATTTCGCTGGAATGAATTAATGTCGTCAAGCAAGGCACCACTGTACTAGTGGTGCTGTGCAGCAGTGAATAGTATATAACAAATTAAATTGGTAGTCGTGACCAGGATTCAGTGAGGTTGTTCTGCTGACTGTAGAAATCACAGAGCTGTAGTTTGAAAAAGAGGGACTTTTCTCAGCTCCTGTGTTTCATTTGGACATGGCCCTGCTTTTAAAAAAAACACCTCTGTCAAATATCTTAGCTTTCACTGGGCACAGGTATGGGAGTCCATGCTTATGTCAAAAGCATTGTCATCCCAGACCACAGTACCATCTCATGGCATATGGAGCACAATAGTGTGCATTCTCAAGATCTGAAAGGGAAACTTGATGAAAGAGCCTATAAATGCTGAACAAAGAGGTGCCCATCTCTTGCTTTACCAGATGGTGTTGTCACCACATTACTGTATCCATTTTTGAAAATCAGAGATACACATGTCTTTATTGACTACTTATGAATTCTTGGTGGCACATTCTGACTGCAAACGTGGAAAGCCATTGAGGGTTTGGCCAAGAGTACTGACCTAGTCGAACTACTTCATTAATGGAAGCACTTTTGTTATTCCCAGAGGATTTTGATCCAATGTAGAATAGTGGCTAGCATTGAACTGGCATATGGGAAATCCGTCATTTAGTACCACTTAGCTATGAAACTCTCCAGATGATCTTGGGCTTGTAGTTCACTTTTTCTTTATGACCTATTTAAGTTGTGAGGATAAGGTATGGGAGAGGAGTGCCATGCACACTAGCATGAACTCACTGGGAATGGGTGAGTTAAGGTGCAATATACATATAATTCTTAAATACATATGTTACTGGCAAAGGGGAGTTGGCTATTTTCACTCCTTCATTCTTTCCCCTAGAATTGCTCTAAAGCACCTCTGATGCTTGCTTCCCTCTGTCAAGAGGGTTAGAAGCCCTTGTTTTGCAAAAGGAGTGGTCCTATGGATACTTGGATTCACTCCAATAGGAACAGGAAAACATTAGACTGTTTGCCCATATCCTTGGGACCCACCAATGTGAAACACTGGCAAAGGTCCATATTTCCTTATCAAGATCTCTAGGTCACGACAGGAGTGACTGAATACTGCATTTTAACTGGCTACTAGTGTGGCCCAGCTGTCTAAACATCAGTGTCTGTCTTTTCAGCTAAACTGACTCAGAAAACCTTTACAGAATTGTAAACTTTGGGAGATCAACTTTGGGAAAATTATCCTAGAACTGCCCTTTCAGACTTCATAACTTTCCCCCCGAACTACCTGCTCCTTCAGGGTATCATACCTTTGGCATACACAGGATTATTGCATATTAATAGCAATCAGATCTGCTTCCATGAGGCTCTGCTTGATACTTCATTCCAAAGAACCGTTCTCCGTATTACACACATGGCACTCACAAATGGCAAGGAAAGGGCCTATGAGCCCTCCGTTAAGATCAGGATCAATCCGTATTCAGCTCAGCAGGTGCCCCTTTTATCATACCCCTCTTCTTCCTTTTCAGACGACCATACAAGGCTCACTTACCTCCTACCCAGCCAGCTACAAAATCATCCAGCTGAAGGCTGCCCATGTTATAATGATTATTATTTTTAAAAAAGCAGTCCTTTCCAATTTTGTTTTTAGGCAGTTTGCAGTCCACATTCACCTCCTTCAGCACCAGCCAAGCAACAGAAGAGAATCTGAATACTGTATGTCTCTGTCAGTCTGTTTTTTTCCACATCCCACAGTGTCCTAGAGTGACTGCAAAGCAGTGGTTTGTTTCTTTGACAACTTTCTTCAGCCTCAAAACTGAAACAACTCTGGATTCCAACCTCTCACACTGTCCCCTTCTCTCTCTCGCTGTCTCTGAAAAGTGCCTTCAGAGCTCTGAGTGACATCATGTTCACAGAGCTTAAAGGAACAGTGCAACGAGAACGGAAGCGTACAGACATAGGCTGATACATTACTAATTAAATGGAAATAGGTGATCTATTGTGTTTACTTATCTACTCTTTCCCCCCCTTCTTGCCCCCCCACCTCTTTGAATAAGGGACGCTTATTTGGGTGATCAAAATGTTGCATGCATGTGTGCATTTAGCTGGCAACAAAAAAGTAAAATCAGGTAGATGGAAACAGATCTAGTCTCACAAAGACAAATTATACATTATAGATCATTATAGCTGAAATCTCTTTAGTGTTCCAAATATGTGATTCTGGCAGACTTTTGGGTGTGAGAACTCAAATGAAGCATGTATTTGCATCCAGAAAATGACTCACAGAACAAAGCAAAGTTTATTTCCAAATTACAGGAGAGCAAAAAACTCCTACTGTGACAATCAGACATTTTTAGCACTTAATGAGCAGCTTTGAATAACATGAACCATGTTTGACCTACAAGCACCAAGGCAGCATCCTCTGTTGGAGAGGGGAGTGGTGCAGTGGAGATTCTTCCTTCAGGAAAAGAGTACTAAACAATTGGAAAAGGAATAAAAAATCTGTTTTTAAAAAACCTGGGCTAACAGGATTGCTGAATAGCTCAGTGGCTTAGACATCTGGCTTCAGAGCCAGAGGTTAGGAGTTTGATTCCCCACTCTGCCTCCTTGACAGGGGTTGGACTCAATGATCCATAGTGTTCCTTCCTATTATTATCCTGTTGCATTTTTACACTGCTGTAACACAACTTGTATAAATCTCAGCAGTAAATTGCCACAATAAGTTAATGCCAGCTCTTGCTGTTCTGTGCCAAGTTGCATACCTCAGCACAGTATAGCAGCTGCCTACATGAACTTTCTAACTTGCAGAAATTTGCCAGTGAAATTTATGCCAATTACATTATGTTGGCGGTTGTAACTTAACAGGATTTAGTCCTCGTGTTTTCTCAGGAAAGGGCTCCCATATACTGCATCATAAGAAAATATTTTCATTTTGGTTAATTGACAGTGGATCTTGACTAAACTAGCTGAACTTTGATTCTGTGTCTGGATCCAACCCATTAATGTTAATACATTGTACCGTTTGTATCAAAGTGAACTTCTTGATTCTCAGTTAAAATAACAGTTGTGAATGCAGTTCTGCAGTTCTGCTATCAAGAAACAGGAGCGGTCATGTGAGCAAGGATGTCCTGGTAGTTCCGAACAAGGAACTTTCCAAACTCTAGTTCCGTACACAGAGTCTGTCTTGGAAGCCTTCATTTGCACTGTTGTATCCTCAGTTGCATGTCCAGCGTAGAGGCTCTGCTTGTAGATTAAGAGTAGGGGGGCAGCAAACGCAATCCATATGGATGATTGGGTGAACCAGACTTTTGTGTCTTGAATTGTTTCCTGTGCATCCCTCACTACAGACAAACTGCTTGTGATCTTCCTTTCCCACAACTCGGACAAGGGCATGTGTTTAGAGCAACGAGACCATGAACCGGCATCAAGTGAATAGACAGAAATATTTGGAAAGAAGCTGCTGGGCCAATGCATATTTTAAGGACAATGGCACCTGCCATTTTCAGATTAAAAAGCTGAAGTGGTTCTGTAATCTAAAATGATAGAAAACAAAGTTCTGGGCCATCTTGCCTGGGTCCACAAAACAAGATTATATCAGCACATCATATTCCATTTTTGTTTTGTTTTGTTGATTGGTTGTTGCACCCACCCTGGTAAAGAGTTCAGAATATGAAGAAGGCAGACACTTGCAAAGGCACCATAAATATGTTTAAACTTCCAAATGATATTCCAGAGCCTTTCCAGAAGTTAGTATTAATACTGCAGTGCTTTTGTTTATATACTAAATATTGGACTCTGTATCGTTTAGATTTCTATGTGAGAAATTCTCAGAGCTTCACAGGTTTCCATTTGAAATTCTGTCCACTGTACATGGTTGTTGAGCCTGCTTTTCCAGGCATGCATGTTAGTGAAATAGGAAGCGAAATTACATACAGGAGAGCATGTCTAAACTTAAATGCAAGGTTTGTTTTTTGCTGACCAATGGCAGCTTAAAAGCAAGCATGACCTGTCAGAAATGTCTGACATGGGGGAAATGCTGACAAGTAATACTTAGCTGTGGGCTTATATCGACAAATTTACAGCTTCTCTTGTGTCTTCTCAGCTGGCTCAAGGACAGCTGGCAGAGCAAGACAATATTTTCTATCTCAAATAGTTTCTGCTCTTTTAAGATTAAATGTACTTGCCTGAGAGTAAGCTGGACTGAAATCTTGTGCTCTTATACTTGGAGATAAAGATTATTCTATATATTGTTAAGTCTGGTTAGAAATGAGTGATTATCTATATGTTTTACATTATTTATCAGTCCCTTTTTGGTACGAGCATACGAGTCACATTTTAACCTCTTCAAATGAGTTCCCGTAATTTTGCATTGCACAGTATGTGAGAATGTGTGTGTGCTCCCCCGAGGGAAAGAGTAAATTTCCAGCCTTTTGTAAATACCTATAACTTTAGCTGATATTTGACCTTTAGGAAGATAACTCCTGGCTGGAATATTTGAAACTCAATGCTTGGGAAGTTACTTTTAGAAGAATGAATGCAATGATACACTGAAGTCACTCATAACTGAGGCCCTGGTCACACGAGGGAAATGTTTTCTAGTTCTTCCGATATAGTACTTTCCATATCTCTGTTGTACTGAGTTGTGGTCACATAGTTTATATCCCGGGACGAATGCCCCAAGAACTTTTAGATTTATTTCCTCCTATTTGAATCATTATGGCTGGCTACACCATGGTACTAGTTTATTTTCTCTCTTGCTTCAAAGAGAGCCCCTTGATTGATGGATTTTTTAAAAAAATAATATTAATCAATACATTGCTATATCAGAAACAAAGCTCCCTCTAAGGTGTGTGACTGCTCGAGGGTGCTTGACTCTGCTCCCCTCCAAACGGCTTTCCTCCTTCCTTGTGCAGCCACAGGGATCATTTCCAGCCCCTTCCATTCTTGTTGCGACAGAACCCCACAGGAGAGGGTGGACTGGCACATGGAGGGGGGGGGAGAAACATTTCTCAGGAAGTCTTTAGGAAAGTGTTTTGGAAAGTGTCCTCCTGCAGAATTTGCACACACACAGAGAGAGAGAGAGAGACGCACACCGGTGACATTGGCATACCAGTGTTTCAATGTATCTTCACACAGAAAAATAATTACTTGCCAATAATCTAATGGCGGAGCGCCCCCCCCCCCGGTGACATATTTTTACAAACATATCAATGTATTGGGCACAATTTTTTTAAAAAAAATTACAATGTGCCTGCCGCAGTAATGGCAGCCACATTCCTGGCTTTGATGCTGAAAAGAAGTGGGTCGGGTCGTGTACACAGGCAATCCCAGTAAGGAACACACCGGTACAACAAAGGCACAAACTAACACAACCCTCTTGGCGATGGGAAAATGTTCCGCAGTTACATCGCTAGCTAGGAAAACGTTTCAATCTTGACTCTGTGTCGTGTGATCAGGAAAAAAAAGCAACAAACTAACTGGGGGATAACTAGAGAACATTCCCCACATGTGACCAGGGCCTGAGCTGTGATAGGATAATGCTCTGGGATTCAGATCATCCTACCAAAAGCTCATTTAGGGTTCTTGCAGTGTCTTCTTATATTAATTGTGCTCTATAGTAACTTTCCAAGTGGGTCCATAATTACAGGTTTTGAGGAATTAATCTGCATTTTCAAAACTTTTTATCTTAAAAAAAACCCTACTCTGTTAACTGGTGTAGCAGGTGAAGTTAAACAAAAGAAAGAAAACCTGTTAGAACACTGCCATCTGCTGTCAGCAGCAGACAGGTTTTTCCTTTGATTTCTTTCTCTTTTAAGAAACACCAAAGGGTGCTTTCCAGATGGACAGTAGTTCTTTGTCACCAGTCAAAAGGCAGTGTACAGCTTTATCCTATATTTCCTTCCTTCCTTCCTTCCTTCCTTCCTTAAGTGGAAAAACACATGAGAACTACTAATGGAAAATAGCAGTATTGAATCCCTGCAGTTAGAGATAAGCACAAGTTGTTGGTTTGGTGGTTCATGCCAGTTTATTTATCAGCTGATGTCTGATGTTTCCCAGCCCTGCCTTCTCCAGCAGGCTCCCACTCAGAGTCGGTGCCTGGAGGAGATGGGGCAGGGAAGCTGTACCCCTGCCTTTCAGTGAGTGCCCACTGGAGGAAGTGGGGCTTTGAAGACACATGGCCGCCCAATAAACAAACTGGCACGAACCGCCAAACCAGCAGTTCACGCCCATCTCTACCTGCAATCATGGAATTGTAGAGCAAGAAGGGATCCTAAGAGTAATCAATGCCAACCCATTGCCGAAGCAGAAAACCACAGTTGAGACATCCCCCACAGGTTGCCACCGAAACTCTAGCTGGCATCCTCCAGACATATTAGACTACTGCTCCCATAACCCTCAGACAATGGGGTTGGGGAGGATGGTGTCTATAGTCCAAGACAGCTACACTAAGGAAGGATGACTTACAACAACAGAGGCAAAATTATGTCTTGTTTATAACTCCCAGTGAATGACACATGACAATTGCACTGCGAATGCTGTGTCTTGAGGCAAGAACCCCAATGCAAGTGAAGGGTTAGAATGCAAATGAAGGCTGAAACAAGCACAGANTTATTTATTTATTTATTTATTTATTTATTTATTTATTTATTTAACTTATATGCCGCCCACACTATCCAAAGGTCTCTGGGTGGCTGACAACATATAAAATACAATAAAAAGACAAAACAATTAAAATGCATTTAAAAGGTATACTCTAAAAATTGCCATCAGGGCCCACAGTTGATATTATTTCAATTAAAAGACTTCTGGAACAGGAAGGTTTTGACCGATGTCATCAGCATCGGTGCCAGACGAATCTCATTTGGGATGGTGTTTCTTAGTCTGGGAGCTGCTGCCGAAAAGGCC